TACAATGTTCATTTCTGCAGATGCCACATGGAATTAAAAGCTAGGAACTCCACTTTCTCCTATTTAGTAATACAAGAAATGTATTATTGCAGAAACCTTAAAAACATTTGAAGTGTGCTATCATGTGTCCTCTTAGACTTCTCTTGTTCTAAATAAAAAGAAAACTTTCAGTTGTTCTTTCTGGTTCATTGGGTAGAAGGCAGATATGCTGCGGGTGGGTAATGTACCTTCTTTAGACGATGATAAGTTATTTGTCCAGTTCTAAGCAGCTCAATCTGGAGGTTTTTGTGGTCAATGGGGAGGAGGAGAAAATAGTCCAAAACTAGTAGGATGAAGCATAGGCCTGGAAAAGCCTCAGGCCATAACGGGAGTCACGATGATTAGTTTAGACCAGATGCTTAACATTTACTCCTTTTTTTGTGATAAAGTGGTTACTCAGTTTTTTGTGATAAAGTGGGAGGCAGTCAACATGAACTAACTCATGAGGGAAAACCTGGATATAGTAATTGAGGGATGACTGTTAACTATAAAAGTGAAGTTGTAATCAAATGTCACCTCAGGATGTAGCACACATTTCCAGAAAAGAGAAGAGCTAGTCCTATTTTACATGATAATTGGTGAGAAGTTATTTGAAATTCTGTTTACAGCTCTAGTTATTTGGCATTAAATAAGCTGAACTTAAGCCCCAAAAGAAGAGGTATTAACATATTCAGGAAAACAGACAGTCTGCGATATCAGAGAAAACCAAAGAGCCCACTTGATTAGAAAGTCAAAAACTGAAAGGGAATATGATTGCTCTCTACAAACATCAGAAGGGCTAAAAAAAATGTAAAAGCTGCTTGAGCTACCAGATATTTTTATCACAAGACCAAGACATATGCACTGTATTAATAAATTTAGTGAAGAAATCAGTTTCTAAACATTAAAACGAGAAAGGTCAGCAGCAGCCTTCCAACTGAATGAAGAAGGACATAAAAACATTACAAATAGCGGACAAAACATTTATGGAAGGGATTATGTGATAAGCTACCTACAATTCCAGGAAAAGTCCTCAATGACCTAAAAATTCCCTGTGTGCCTAAACAGACAAATGCTGGGTGATTGAAAAAGTAAAAAATGTCAGTCACAATAAATAACGTTGGAAGCAGCCATCATGCTTCTTCCACAGATTGTAGCAACTGAGTGTTCATGAGGAAATCAGCTTATAAATGGGAAAAGAGAGAGGAGACAATGGAAAAAAAAAAAAAGAAATGTATTAAGAACCAGGAGGGAAAAGCGAAATGAAAGCAAGCAGTAGAATGTGAAGACAGGGAGACAAACCATGAGATAAGGGAGAGGCCATCCAAAAATGCAGAAAGTTTGCTGGACAGGCAAAAATCACCAGAAATATGAATGGCCATCCAAGCCTAGTTTTTAATAACGGGCACCGAGGAGGTTTTAAGGCACTGAGGGCACTCATAAGCTTTGATGGCCCTGACCAGCCTCCCTTGAAGCCTCTCCCACCGCCTGCCCATGGCCCCAGGAGCCCCATTTTGGCTCAGCCCGTCTCATCTCAATGTACCTGTCTCTACTCTTGTTTTTTGCCCTGCTTCCTGGATGGGTCTTGGACCATCCTTTATGTAATCAATAAACATAAGGATGGGTGCTTTTGAAACACAACAACAATCCAGACCATTTTGACATAATATTGACCATAATATGTCATAAACCAAGCTTAAATCTTTGGAGTTTAGATTATTCCAGTAGCCTCACACTAACAGCCATTGCAGATCTAGCTAGGCAGATCAGTTGAACAAACCAGTATAAAAGATTTTTATCCAGCCCTATATGAGTTATTTAATGCTGGTAAGCATATGTTTTAGATGTATCTGGAAAGTGTCTAAGAATGTGGCATCTAATGAGCTATGGCATGAAAACTTGTATCTTCCACAGGTTGGTATGAACAGTTCAGAGACTGGACTGTTCCACTGAATTTATTTTTCCTTATATGCCCATATTTATTTGCTCTCAATTCATTGTAGTACCTCCAGTGTTGGCTTGTCCCAGAAGGAATGTTGTATTTTAGATAGTAAGTTGGGTTGCAGCTGTTCATTGAATTTGTGCTTGGCCCATCGCAAGGAAATAATAAATTCATCTTGTCAGTTCAATAGCACAGGACTACTTCTGGGTGTTCAGTGATTTAGTACCTACTTCCTGGTAACTAAAAAACAGTCATGTAAATTAATTATGAAGGTCACAGATCATGTTTTCCATTTGGTCAGCATTCAAACTACAAGCAAAGAAGTCCCTACTTGCCTAATATTCAGACAACTGAGGGAGATGTTAGTTGTACATAGGAAAAACGAACAATATGGGAGTTTCTCGTAGGAGTTTTTTTATGTACTGATTGGTCTACTTATATTTGCGACTTGTGCCAAGTTCATACTGATTAGAACTTGTGGATCAGTGTCAACACACATACAAAATGCACAGTTTATGTTGGGTTTTAACTTGTGGTGTCTCAGAGTTTACAGCACTCACTGAGTCATCGAAATCAGATATTTACTGTTGCTCTATCTTGACAAATCCTCATGTAGGTCAGACCAATTCTTTCATGCATTGCCACTAAATGGCACCTTGCTGCTGTGCCACTAAGAACATTACAATTTGGCCTCTCAGAGGCTGATGTTTATATAAATTATGAAAGTCCCACACATAGCAGGAGGTCTTCTGGGATCAGCTCCCTGGAGCCTGTTTCCTACAGTCTCGGTATGCAGATACCCTCTCCGATCTGGCTGCTGTGGATGGATTGTTGTACAAAAGTAGCACTAGGAGCTATATTAGTTAGGGAAATTGAAGCTAACACATCTTTTCATTAAGGAATATTCCCTAACCACCGTCTTTGACTTATCATGCATGCATTGCAATTATTGCAGCAAACAGCATTATCTTATCACTTAAGATTTCTGTACCACTTGTGTACTCTGCAAGATTTAGTGGAGAGAGAAGTACTTAACCTTCTCAATAGGAGGGCACGATGAAGTGGAAGAGATGGGAATAGGCCCTCTTGCTGAAACAGAAAGCATGTCAAGTTTTCCTGTAGGCATCACTTTGGTGATGTGGCCTTTCCTTACAGCAAATGGAGCACACAGGACCTTTGCAGGAATAGCACAGCGTTGTACTGAGCCAAATTGTAACTGTAAAAGACCATTGGGGGCAAAAAAAAAAGAGGATTTATAAAGCTGAAAGGAGTTAATCTAGTTTTCAGCAAACAAGGAAATGGAAGTCACACACAAAATTTACAGATAATGGAATAGACACCTTAAAACTCAGAAACAGAAAATTGGTAAAAAACTTGATATGAAGAACAAAAGTTCCTGGGCCACAAGACAGGGATTGTAATGTAACTTGTCACAGACAAGGCAAACAGTTGAATATACTTACCATTGCAGTTACATCACCTAATGTCATAGCTCTCTAGAGTCACTGTTTCTCAAAAGGACTTTTTTTTGCCATTATTCCTCACAGGGAAACAGATCCCCACCCATGTGCAAACTGAGGCACCTAAGTTGATCATTTAAATTATTAAAGTGGTATATATGATCTGTGCATAAGCCCAGAAAAATATCTTGTATATGTCTAGAAAATACTTTCTACAATGTGGCATTTGGAAGCAAGGCAGGGGAAAAGCCACTATGTAAATGAAACTGTTAGGGAAGAAAAGAATTGGTAGAGAAAATTCATATTACTTGCTAGGAAGGGTGAAACTAATAAGGGAAATCAGCATGTTATAGAATCTGTGCAGTTTCATAGATGAACAGGACTTTTACCCAGAGCTGAAAGTCCACTTAAATTTTATCTCAACTGATAAACATAGAAGGGGTTGCTAGAAACTGTTTTGAAGACTCCTCTGTGCGTAATGTGATCTTCAGGTAAAGGTAATTCAGAAGAATACATAACTTCCTTGACACTGGAAAACAACCCTCCAAACTCCGTGCTGCCAATAACTCTATAGCTAGCACAGCTAAGAAATCCTGTAAACAACATTGAAAAATAATTATTTTCAGGTGCATCTTTCCAGTTTTCTTTTTTAACAGCATCCCCCCTACTGAGCTTCTACCAAAGCCTTTGCTTTGGTAGAATAAAACTTTCTGTTTCCATTTAAATCTTGTCCTATGTTTTGGGAAATTTTTGTTTTGATTAACATGAATATAACAATAACACATTGAAGGTGACAAATCTAAGTCAAGTGATGTTGTAGAGTGTCTGCAATGCAAGAAAACTTGGAGATCGCTCAGATTGATATGCACTTGCATTTGCTGATGCCAGTAAGGAAAGCTGTATCGTGAAGGGTCAATGAGGAACAAAAGACTTCTCAATTTCCCTGACAAGTGCCCTTTCCTAGTGCTCTTCTGGCAAAATGCAAAGAGTAGAATGAACACAAATACAGGTGTATTCACAGCTCCAGATTGGATTTTGAAACCTAGAGACAGTCCTCAGTAAGGAAAGACAACTGAGATGATACATTGCCATATCTGAAGTCATCTTCTTGTGTCTTTTCAGAAGCTTAATACCTGCTTGCCCTTAGAGCAAGACTTAAGTAAGGGACTTCACACGGGCAGGAACAGCATCTCTGTAAGAGCCACCTCAAGTGCCCAGATACGATTAAGCACAGAGGACTGATGGGGAGCAAGAGAAACACTTACGTTAACACAAGAAAGGACAAGAGACACACATGATTTATCATTAACATCTTTTGCGAGTAGCATCCAAGACTCAAAGCATTCATCTCATTTATACTATTACTTATTGCTTTCTCAGGATAATAGGTAGAACTTTAAGGTGTATGTAAAGCATCCATCTTCCCTGCAGTAGTCCTTTTTTTATCACAAGAGCAGTACAAACTGGCCCTTGTGTAAGGGAAAACAAACCCCGTTATCTCTTGTAAACAGCTTTCCCGCAACTTTGGGATACACCTCAGCCAACAGCTTCTGCTTCTGCATTTTATTCCTTCCCTGCAACGCTCATGCAGTAAAAGCAGAACATGAAACAGTGAAGTCTTTAAGCCCACCATGCTCCTCTTCGACAAGGTATGCATTAGCCAAACACAGCTTAACTGGATGTAATTCTCTGGCCTATTGTATTTAGAGGGGGGGGAAACAAAAAGACTGAGTAATTCCTTCTAGTCTTAACCTCTATCAGTTCTGTGTGTACTGGAGAGAGGAAAAGCATTGTATAATAATCAAGTAAGGTCTTCCGTAGAGAAGAAAGTCTGTGTGATTTCAAATGGAAAAACAAAACACAGTTACTTCAGCAAGACACCCTGTAATAACGAGGTAAAATAAACCATCATCTATCTATTAAGCTGTGATTGTTATTTGTCCGTTGTGTTTCTTCCCTCTTCTGATGGACATCTTAATGTTCCTTGTAATAAATTTTTAGTGGTGCATTAGTGACCTTATTTTCTCCGCATTTGTAAGAAATCAGGTAAGAGGCTGGTGAGGTTGATATGGATCCAGACAAGACAATCTTATTGTTGCTAGCCAAAGAGTCAGAAAACACACTTACTGTCACTTCCCTCTTCAAGTTGAAGGAGGCTATTTAAGACTGCATGGACAAACTGCATTTACTTGGCTGAGCTTTCAACTTGAGGTGAGGTAGGTGTCTGCTGACTCAAAGCATTAAAGTTAATGTTTAATGAAAAAACTCTTCTACCATGACACCACAGAAATGGGATAAATGTCAATGTTTTCAAAAAAACTTATTCAGCTCAAAGTTCAGGAGATCTAAGAAATATTTCTGTCCCAGTGTGCAGGCAAGCTGCACCTTATCCTACCTTTCTGGTCTCTGTAGCTATGTAGCTATGTAGCTACGTCCACAATAAGAGTATACACCAAGAAGTAGCTTAAAGATTAGCATGCTTCCAAGTCATGCTCCACAAATCCACATGATTGGCTGAGGGATACTCATAGTTCAGACTTCAATGAACTGAACTCAGAGTTTTAAATAACATCACTTGTCTTCTAGGAGGCATCCTGAGGCTGGTTTGAGCCTGTGTCAGCCAACAAACATGACCAAAAGTGCACTGAGCGCCAGGTCCTTGCATTCGCCTGACCTATTTAGCCTATTTTAGTTATCTTCCTTTAAGATTAAATAACTGCTCTTGGGAGTTTCTGTTTCTCTCTTCTGACTTAAAAGGGAAGCATAACTGATTAAATCAGATACAGAAATGTATAGCATATGTCTGGTCAGGTGAACGCTACTCCTAATGATGCTTGAGGGCATTCTGTAAGAAGATTATTAAATGCAGCTTCTTTCTCATTCTTTACGTAAGGATACTGCTCAAACTACCCCTTTATCTCTTATTTTTATTTGTCTGGAAGCTTGAAAGTCTGCCATAACTTTTCAGATTTATTTACATAAATGCTGTGATACATCACCAACACCATATTTTTCCATCAGATGGAAAGGTAGGATGAAAAACCCAACGGCCATTTAAAAGACAAATACCCAAAGTTAATTAGTAGATCCAGGTGTGCAACAATATTTACCAAAGAACACCCTCGCTTCTTCCATTGTATTTATAGCCGTCATAATTGGGCTGAAGCTAATTGGGAGACACACGGGAATTTCCTAGACAGTAAAGGCCGGCAGCTCACAGTGTGTGCATTTTTGATTGCCCTATGCAGCAACTGGATGGACATGAAAGACTGCTGGCCTTTGAAATTAGATGTTGCAGGTGACTGTTCCCCATCACCTGGCAAGCCTGTGTCAGAAACAAGACAATCAGAAAAAAAGATGGGAATGACAGAGACAGCCATTGACATGGAAGTTGCTTCAGCTGGAAAACATATCAGGCCAAAATGCAGGACTTACTTTCTCCCATGCACAAAGTTTCCACTGTGATGTAGGGCTGCAGGTTCAAGACCTTGTTTTCATGACTTAACAGGATAAACATTTTGTGTGCTTCATAGAAGGTATGATTGAGGGCCCACAGCCATCTGTAAAAGTTTCTCCAATTAATAGGGAACTTCATTCATACAAATTACCTAAAGGAGGAGGAATGCTCTCTTTTCCTCTGGAGAAATGAAACTGTTTCTCTTTTGAGCTGTGTATTCAGAGGACAGGGTTTGCAGATCACCATCAGTGCCTAATACTTCCCAAGATTTCATTTCACTCTTTTCTTTGAGAAACCCACCCAGTGCACAGCAGATCTGGCAGACAGAGGAGTCTGCATGCTGCAAACATGCCATTTCCCTGTCCTGTGAAATTCTCATCAGGTTTGGATGAGCTACAAGGGCTTTAAAACTGCCATTTTCCTTCAGCGCTGGGGGTAGAGCAGCATCTTGTCATGGTCACAAAGATCAGTCCACGCTTTTGCAGAGGAAAACTGAAACTGTTCTCCCTGCCACAGCTGCTTCAGACTCAGGGTATGGTTATTTACCTTCCTTCCCTTGGAGAGGCTTGAGGAGAATGTCTAAAAGACCTGCCATTTCCTGAAGCAGTCCCCAGACCCAAACATGACACAAGCCAAAGCCCATCTCAACAGGCAAAAAGTGAGTCAGTGAGGCAGGCCAGACTGGGTTTTCCCAAAAAGTTCAGCAAGCAAAGTAGCCCAACTCCACCCTCTGGATAAAGTATCTTCTTCCACCTGGCAGCTAGTGTCAGTCCTTTTTGCTTAAAGTTAGTAATATCTGAAGTTAAATTTGACAGATTAAGCCTTGCTAATGGTGAGAGAAGCGTTTCATTTATTTAGAAGAAGAAATATTGGAGTGCATAGATATTGGAATGTAATTTCTTCAGAGTCCCTATTCTCATGTAAATCACCTATACATGTATAGGGGCCATTTACCTGTGGCTGCTGGACATCAGTTCACCTCACCAGGAAAATAGCTAAGTTGCTCTTTCTGGTCAAAGAGGAGAAAAAAAAAATAACAGGGGGACTGGGGCGGGGAGGAAAACTAGGCACTGGGCAGTCTGCTAAGAAGGCAATGTGAAGTTTGCTAAATCTAATTCTTAAGGACTGAATATTCCAGTTGCACTGGTACATCAGCTGTCTGGCACAAACAGGCCAGAGCACAACTTTTGTTTGCACTCTCAGGTGACAGATCCCCGTCTCATCCACTGCACAGGTCACGTGAATTACAGCAGAGTAAACGAGCACATTTGGCAAGTCCTTGAAACTCTTGGGTGAAAAGCCTGGTCCTAAGTCAAGTTTCTAGAGTTTGGATGCTTAAATCTGAACTACTCACCAAAGGCTTGCATTATAATCAATGAAGGGAAATGAGAATCTCTAAAACATTCAGCATCTCTTCCTAAGACAACTTTTTTAAGAGAGTTGAGACTAAGCATTTTCTTGAGTTACACATAATTTCCCACTAACTACGAAGGCAGTATAACATGACCAACTTAGACATGCACGCATAGTCTTTCAATACAGATTGTATGTCTTTGTGTGTGTTTATGTACCTGCATGCAATTTAAGATATAAAGTAATACTCTCAGAGAAAGTCCTGATTGAATGAACTTGTCTTGACCCATTTTAAAATTTAAACATTTATTAAAAGGCACTTTCCTCAGTAAGATTTCAACAAGGAGCCTTTTCTGCACCCTTGAAAGGACTTAATAGAAGGATTGCACGTCATGTGAGATATTCACTGGGGAAAACTTTATGTAAGGAATAACACAAGATATTCATGTCTGACCTATGGGTAAAAAACAATGAACTTTACTCGTGATTTTGTTCTTTTTTAATCACTTCCTGTGCAAATGAAGGAGCTCACAGGTCCTTACAATCAAACATGGCCATCTGTCTTATCCTGTGGTACAGCAAGGATAAGCAATAGCTTTTTAACAAAGCTCTGCTTCCTCTCTTTGAGCTGTTCAAATGAAATACAGTCGCTACAAATTAAAAATACATATATGCTTATTTTAGCTTTGCCACTTGCAAGTTTGACTCTGTGATAGACTGGTATGTTCTTCTTGCTAAATAATTTGGTTTCCATTCCAAATCCATAGACCCATTTTCAAGGAGAAAGAGCTGAGATCATTTTAAGCTTAGTCTGGACAATGGTCTAATTCTACCTCTATACTAGAGAACTCAACAGTGGCAGGGCTTTTATCCTCCCTAAGATTACAACAGCAGTGCCAAGCAGACTTAATCGAGGAGTTACCATGAACAGGGCACCATTATTAAAAGGTGCATGGTGTCAGCCACCCTGTTTGGCAGGCTAAAGATTGCCAAATATATAAATTGGCCTCAGAACCAGAGAAATGGCCGCGGCACTGCTTGGTACACCAGTATAGATGAACCCTAAAAACCTGAGTTCTTTCAGTCTCATAGCACGTGAGCAGTTTTCCAGCAGTAGTCTCACCAGGATAGCAGCCCAAGGTAACATCACCTCCCAGCACCTATAGATTATACCGATTTTTATACCCAAGGACTGACACGGCTTTTTATTGCTGTATCCTAGCACTACTACTTCATGACCAATTAGTCTGCTACCGCAATATCATCCCTCTTTTTAGCAATTTTTCATTAAATAAAGGCTCCTACCATACAATTTTGACCTATCTTCTGAATACTGGCTTAACAGAGGCCAAGTTACTTAGTATCACATCAAGAAAATGTTTTATCCACAAAACTTTTAAGAGTCAAGGCAAATCTTGACAAGCAATGTGAATCTCAAGAACAAGTGATCATCCAACAGTAATCTAAGTGAAATTTAATTTACTCCTTTATTCATGAGAAAGCTTACAAACTGAGCTGTTTAAAATCATTTAAGAAATTTGGTCTCTGAAATATTTTCATCATCTGAGTAGATTATCCCGATTTTTATACCCAAGGACTGACACGGCTTTTTATTGCTGTATCCTAGCACTACTACTTCATGACCAATTAGTCTGCTACTGCAATATCATCCCTCTTTTTAGCAATTTTTCATTAAATAAAGGCTCCTACCGTACAATTTTGACCTATCTTCTGAATACTGGCTTAACAGAGGCCAAGTTACTTAGTATCACATCAAGAAAATGTTTTATCCACAAAACTTTTAAGAGTCAAGGCAAATCTTGACAAGCAATGTGAATCTCAAGAACAAGTGATCATCCAACAGTAATCTAAGTGAAATTTAATTTACTCCTTTATTCATGAGAAAGCTTACAAACTGAGCTGTTTAAAATCATTTAAGAAATTTGGTCTCTGACTTATTTTCATCATCTGAGCTAAGGAAAATGCAAAAAGCAATAATTAAAGTTGAAAAAAAGATCTGTTTTTTTCAAATTCTTTTTAATAATCTACAGCTTTATTTTCTAACAACAAGAAATATTCTTATTTTCTTATGAAGAAGTATAATTATTTTCTTTTTAAATAACAGTTCACAATGAGAACTTGTGCTTTATGAGTACTTCATTCACTGTGAAATAAGTACCTCTTCAGCCGGCTGAAAGACATTCTCTTTGTCTATCGTATCTTATATGAAGAGATAGGAGATTAACCATGTTTCATATAAGATGAAAAATTATTTACCTTTTAAAATGAAAGCTACCACTTGAAGAAATGATTGACTACAGGGAACACAATTGAGTGTCGCTGTGTTCCTTACTACGTGCAGCAAACCAGGCTATGTGAGATTTTCTTCTAGGCTGCTTCCTTCTTAAAATACATATAAGACAGTGAGAAGCATATCTGTGGCTAAATGAGCTGGTTTGCATTACAAACTGAAAAAATATCTAAGCCAGCACTTCATGCACAGAAATAGCCCGGGAAATAGGAATCGCTATATTGACCCATACTGTTTCCCTCCCATAGTGGGTGTGACGGTGTGTTTGCCTGTCTCTCTGTTTCTTTTTTTTTTTTCTTTCACTGTATCACCCAGATCCACTGGATTAGGCAGCTCCGCTGACGGCAAGCGTCCTTTATCAGGCTCTCACAACCTCCTGCTCTCCTGCGCTGCCTTCAGCCTTTGACACCAACATGAGGTTCAAGTTCTCGATCCTGGCTCTTCTTCTGGAAGTGATCATCATTGTTTTGTTCGGAATATTTGTGGAGTATGACACCAGTGATGTCTCCCAAACTTTATACCCATGTAAGTGTTGCTGTCTAAGATTTATAGACGTTAGAATTTCTTTAAACTAATCCTAAGCAAGATTTCTGAATAACTTATGAGACCTACTGATATAGCTAGAAAAGAAAGGCATGCTTTGGGGCACTTCTGAGGTGTGAAAGCAGCAGGCTTCAAAGACAAATTCAAGTTGAGCACATATAAAATTCTGAAAGTAGCTAACTGCTGAGAAGTTAGCTGTTCTGGGAAAGGAGAGTCCTGAAAATAGTCCTAGTGTTCACATAGCAGGTTAAAACTCGGGGAAATATTAATTGCTTTGAAAAATTCTAGCATTTTCCAGAGATGGATGGCAGAGCTTCTCGCCGGCCCTTCTATCCTGATTACTGTATCAAATAATGAAAATGAACGGAACATTTTATTACTATCATCCAGGTTTCAAAAGGTTGTTTTATGAGAACACGGAAATTGGGCAGCATATTCATCATCATTACAAAATAATTTTGCAGAAACTGGACTCCACGAAGGGCAATAGCTTTTGTCAGAAGGTGGATAACCCTCTCCTATCTTTCAAAGCAGTGGCTCAGTTGTAGACAGTAATGGTTCAGCCTGCAAACGTTTCCGTTGATTTGTTGTTCTGCAAATGCTTGATGAAGTTCGGGGAGGAAGCTTTTGGCCTGAGAAGTAACTACTTCTGCTGACTTCTGCCACCCTCCTCCTCCTCCTGCAAAGATCAGACTGTTGTAAATATATAGAAAAATAAGTCTGCAGAGGAGCAGCCTGTGTCTTGCTGGCAGTATTGAAGGTTTGTTGTTCTTCTTCTTGGCTCTGATGTCTCAATGACTTGTAGCTCTAATTGCAATCCTCTTAATGATCATAACGGTACAGAACTCCTTGCTTGTATGTAATATCCATGTTATTTTGGATGTATCCCTCTTTTTGTCTCGTTCCAACTGGCCTTTCAGTGACAGTTGGCCTAGGCAAAAACTATGCCAGAAACCACACTAATAATTTGAGAGCACAGACAATTGTACTGTGGTACTGTTATTTTATCAACATAGCTATTGCCTAAAACACCTGTCCAACTACCTCTTCTCTGACTCTACCCCCAAAAAAACCCACGACAACAACAAATGCAGCCACAGAACAATAGTGCTTTGGGCATCTTTGTATAATTAGGTAAGTCAGAAGGACGTTTTCTAGCACATGGATCCATCAGACTCAGATTAAGGTCTGTTTGCCCTGCAAGAACACAGAAAATTACTTTCTCCAGTCTGAGCATCATACCTGCTGGCTCTGGTACTAAATTAAGCTGCATTTTCTCAGAGTCCACCTTACCAAGGAAACTAAAGAAAGGTGCATGGGATCCTCATGATTATGCCAGTAGTTTAATAGCCTTCAGTGGTCCCTTACAGTGCTGTGGTGCATTTCTTAGTAAACCTCAAGTCATCTTCTGGATGGAGACTGCCTGTGCCACACGCAACACTGTGGGTCCTGTATTTCCAGGGGAGATCCCGGAATAGCCTGTTCTCTCACTAAAAAAAACCCTCTCCCAGCCCTTGTGTGGAGCCCTGGTTTTTAATTTAATATCTCCTTTTTAAAAAGGTGTCAGAGAGAGGGCAGGACCCTCATCAACATCACAGAGAAAAGGGTTCTTCTCACCAGACGCTAACAATACAATATAGGCCTTTAAATGTAATCTGTCCAGTTAGGGTTCACCTATAGCTATTCCTTCCCTAATACAAGTGTCTAAAATATGTGGAAGGAATTGCCTGCTGTCTCCCACGCCTTTCTGCACAGCCAGTGTATGACTATGTTATACCTGCACACTGTCCCCCAGCTGTCCACACTGTTGAACTGCTAGCAAGCTTCTGGCATGGTTTTGGCTCATGCAAACCAGCACCTTGACCTCCTCCTAGGTATAGCTTTAGGTATAACATAGATCAGGGACTACTCTCAATAAGTAGTACAGGTGGGAACAGTGTTTTGGGAGGGAAGAGCATGTAGCTGTACAGGTGTGAGTCAAGCTATGCCATTTGCTTTTTGGCCAGGCTGGTCAGTTTACCAGTAGAAACATAAACTAAGCAAATACCGCAGATGTAATGTTGTGCTTTTAGATGCTGACCTAAGAGTAGATGAATCTCATTTACAATAAACAAGTGGAAGAAAAGCAGGATTTCCTAATACCTGTGTTTTCACTTTCAGGCCCTCTTTCCCTCAAACATCCCTGTCTACAAAGTGCACACAAGAGCACAGTTTGTCTGAGGACCTGGCAGAAAGTTAATGCTATGGTTGTATACATGTGTTAGGGCATATCCTGAGCCAGGACTTCCCCTGAGTTCACAAAATGATGGGTTCAAACTGCTTCCCATGCTATCCCCAGGGATGTTAACCCATCTGTACCTCATAGATTTAGTTGTTTCATCCAGGGGCCAATTTATATTCCCAGAACTGCAGTGCAGGGCCTGCTTTTATATGCCTTAAAAACCTCAGCACTATGAATCCAAGATGTTTCAGTATTTTTGGACTGAACAAAGATGAAAATAATAATTGACGATCACCATAGTTTTGCACTCAGGTAAGGGGGCCTGAGATGAGATCATACCCAAAGCAGAGCTTTGCATTATATCTATTCCTGGTGGATGCAAGTACAGGCATGGCGAATTGGATGGACAACTTCAGGTGTGCTTTGCCACTGGAACAGGAGGACAAGGGTGTGTGATGGTTTTGCAAGTACTCCTAGAGGATTTCTTTAGTGCTGGTATCCTGTACGTAATGTCCTGTGGTTGATCCATGATTCATGGCTTAGGGAAACTGATGTTCCACTTCTGTTCAGGGTTCTACTGTTTACTCCTTTAGACAGAGCAAAATCACGGTTTTAATATAAACCTAGATGCCAGAAGCATCTTTGCGTTGAGATTGACCACCATGAGGAGACCTTGCAGTTGAATTAATATGCTGGTCTTGGGCAGCCTTGCAGAATCATGTTCAGGATCTGCTGGAGTGTTTTTCCCAATCTTTATTTTCCTGTAACAGAAGTACTATGTTTTGTTAAACACAACTAGTTACTGAAACAGTTTATTTCAAATTGTGCTGTTTTCTCCATCATTTGAAATCATTCCAGACCTACTCTTCTTTAAAAGAATGCATAAGAGGTAGTTAAAACACAAGATATAGGCTAGATTAGTTGAAGGTCTTCACTCAGTCTGTGAAATTTGTCCTCAACATCCATGAATTAACCCAGTTTTAACCAAGACTTTTCATCTTTTGTGTAAGTAAGTGCAGATAGCTTTAAAACATTTATATGAATCCTGGCTAGCCCTCAGGAGGACCCATGATTACATGTCAACCAGCTGGTTGTTTCAAACAGAATTGCTTCTAATCTTCAGGGCTGGGGTCAGATTTCTAAAAGCACCTTTCAAAAGAGACTTGATAAAGACATTTGAAGGAGAGTTGCTCTAGATGTGCAGCCCACCCCCACAGTCAAGTCAGGCATGAAGCCACAGCTCTGCGTTCCTGTGGCACAGGCTGCTGCAAGCTGGGAGGGTGCACAGAGAGAGGTATCTGTCAAATGATCTTGTACTTTAATATCCTTTTCCTAAACACCCCCTGCTGACTCCCTCTGACACAGGAATATGGGCAAATTAAGCTGTGTTTGGGGTTCTCTGCATCCAAAGACACTAAGACACTGCACTAGGCATGCAGAAGCCTTATTGATGGGCACTGAGAATTAAACTCCTGTTATCAAGGTGCTTTTGAAACTGTTCTTTTGCTCACGTGTAGAGTCAGGTTACTTAAGTGGCAAAGCATCTTTTACTAATCTAGATATGATTTACTGAGATGTTGTACACATGAATGGGATTGTTTTGATGAGAACAATTCACTTGCTTTGTCTGCAATGATTTAACCAGGAGATTGCAAACAGGAGCAAGTAATATGCTGAATGCTAACAAACCATAAGAAAGACTGGGAAAATATTCTTACCTGGAGCTGACTACCCTGAATGGGCAAAACTAAAACTTTATTAGAAAGTCCATGGCATAGGCTGATTAAATAATAAAAAGAGCAGAAGTAGGTAATTTTCAAACGTACCCCTCATTTTGTGCATGAAACTCGTGTGATATAAACTGAAAACTGTTGAAGTTGTATATCACTTTGACTTGTCATGTTAAGAGTTTATTTAATACATTTCCATTTTCTTCTGCTAAAGTCAAACAAAAAGGCTACTTTTGTAGATGTTGCTGTGCAGTTTTTATGGATTTGCCCTCTAGTTCTGTATTTTTTTGGTAACATTAACAAGCTTTTAATAAAGTAGTTTTACAAGAGTCAGACAAATAACCCGGGCCGCTTCTCAAATGCAAATGTGATGATCCCACAGATTACTGGGTGAATGGTCACTCATAGAAAATTATTTCTAGAAGGGGAGAAAAAGGCTTGTTCAGCATCCAGTTTCCAGTTATCCTCAAAAAAGAGGGGGAGAGAGCTAAGGTCACTCCTTCCCTTATTTGAGACGACCTTTCTCATGTGACCTGCCAGCATATTTTTGTCCCTCTTAAAAAAAAAAAGGTGGCTGATCATCTGTACCTGAGGTCATCAGGATGGTGTTTAGAGGAAGGCTGGGAAGGCTATCCACTCTCAGCCCTACCGGCACCTAAACACTGCTATATGTTTTCCAAGACATTTGAAGGAGAGTTGCTCTAGATGTGCAGTCCACCACCACGGTCAAGTCAGGCATGAAGCCACAGCTCTGCGTTCCTGTGGCACAGGCTGCTGCAAGCTGGGAGGGTGCACAGACAGAGGTATCTGTCAAATGATCTTGTACTTTAATATCCTTTTCCTAAACACCCCCTGCTGACTCCCTCTGACACAGGAATATGGGCAAATTAAGCTGTGTTTGGGGTTCTGCATCCACTAAGACACTAAAAACTTTGCTGCTGGTAGGATCAGGAAGGTTGTATTAGCATTGGTTTGTATTGTCCCCAGCCATATCTTTTTTATCTCTTGCCAGGTCCTCTGAAGCAAGGGAATATGTTGAGCTCTAAACAAGACTCATTTTCACACAGCATTGCAATACAAAATATGCAAGTATATCAAAAGCAGAAGCCCAAATGGGGTAATTAAGTTGATTTTTTTAAAATAATTAGTAAGCACAACACAAGAGTTTGGATAGTAGTTCTGGAAATTGAGTAACATGGAGGAAAATGGGAAGCTTCCAAAGGACTGCAGGGGCCTCAAAAATCCCATCACCGGCTATTATTGAAGTCAGGAGATAAGTGTGAAAATGTCCAGCCTAAAGAGGAAGCAAAAGGGTTGGGGATGTCTGCGAACCACCTGCATTTCTATGCTGTTTCTTACATGTGTGTAGCCCAATGTAAAGGGTCTTACTACATGCATGTATGTATTTCAGTGGTGGGCCAGGGCTGGAATATGGCAGGGCAAGTATAATAGAGTTTATTAGGAATCTCCAGTAACATTATACTTCTGGGCCCTCTTTTGGCTAAACATGGTAATGCATATAGCAAAACTATAGCAACGCTGAAAGTACGTAACCGGGAAATGTAACTTCAAGCCAAATATTATACTAACCAGGTCAATGTTTCAAGTTTTTCCCGCATATTTGCATGTAAGAGGCAATGAAATAGAAATGAAAAGAAATAGTTTCTCTATAATGAGATTCTTACTAACAATAAAATCAGAGAAAAAGCTTTAATTACAGGACTCAAACCTGTTTGGTGTAGAGTCCATTAAATCAAATAAAACACTTCAGAGTAACAAAATCTTTTAAAATACAAAATATCCATGTTGTGGTGATAAACTCAGTTTGTATTAAAAAGCCTAAAAAAGGAAATTAAAAAACAAAAACTTTAAAAAAGTAGAAAAAGAACTAGCCATATTTTAACAAAATTAATATTTGGGGAAAAAAACATATTTGAAGGAGGGCTAAGTATATGCTGATTAGCAATATTAATTTACTAGTTTAGACATTACCTTAAATGCCTTTTTCTTTTACCCAGGTAAAGAAATCAATCTCTTGTACAGTAATTTTTAGGGATCACAAACATACCTTTGCACTGGGCCAACTAGCACTCTACCAAACAAATCCCATGTACAATTCTGGAGTTAACCAGAACACGCTGGATGTGACAACCTTTATTTGAGGGGGAAGAGAACTTTTCTATAAGGACATGTAGCTGTGATGTTCCAGGTAGCTTCACACGCAGAGAACACATCCAGACACATGAAATTTGCTGGTATAGCAAATAAATACTTCAATAATTGGGTCTTGCATTTTCCAGACACTCAATCTTCAACTAGTAGACTGGTCATGAAGTGGGGAAGGATGGATCGCATTAATGACATGAGTTTGGAACTCTTCTCTTTTCTATTGAATTCTCATTTGTCCCTAGCTTTCCTCCCTTCATAGTCACTCTTCATAGTCACTACACAGACATGTTTTCCCTTCAGTCTTTCAGGATGTCCATGTGATGATATTTGTTGGATTTGGTTTCCTGATGACCTTTCTGAAGAAATATGGATTCAGCAGTGTTGGTATCAACATGCTCATTGCTGCCTTCGGTCTACAGTGGGGAACCCTGATGCAAGGATTTTGGCACATGGAAAGAGGGAAAATTCATGTTGATATCAAAAGGTACATGTGAATTTACCAAAACTGACATTTCTATCCCTTAAGATATCAGCAGAAGCCATAAACTACGACATCTGTGGGATCAGACTTCTAAGTTCACTGAAATTTGATTGAGCCTTACTGTCCACCTCTCAACATTCATCTGCCCTTCACCTCTAAAGGGGCAACACCTGGTGCACTGGGCCAAGGGAACCAAAGGGTGGGATGAAATTTGAGGTGCTATGTTACATGTGGGCCACAGGTGATGTAGAGTGACTGCTTTGAATCTCTGGAGCTGTGGAAGCTGGAAGATTTCCAGCAGTAGCACACCACCTCCTGCATCCAGCAGGCATGAAAGGGTCTGTCCTTCCATGACATGAGGGGTCACAGAAGAAATGCTGGAACAGTGTGTCTATCCACTCATGAGGTTTTCTCCTACATCTCAAGAAATTATTTGCATGAGCACCATACTGCAGTAGGTTTTGGACCCCAATCATAGAATAAAAGACCTCATGAGCAATGTCTCTAGACATTTTTAATCCTGCTCCCATTCATCTGTCCTGCTTCTACCAAGGTCTCACAGTGTTTTCTACAGCTGCAGTTCTGTTTTCTGAGATAACTTGTAGACAATTTTGAAAGGAACAACATCGTAACGTTACTGAGGGAGAAGCAGAAATAATTTAAGTAGCTCCTTAATGCTTACAGACAGGCAGAGGACCTGTAGAGGACCCATAAGTTAGTGCCCCTCTGTGCTGCAAGTTTTTGACCAATTTGTGTTTTTATATATCTTTGCCATTCCCCATAACCTGCTAATGCTGGTCCTTCCTGACAGGTAGTGAAAATATGATGCACAGTGATAGAAAGGCATGCAAGGCTTTTGAAATGAGATAAACCATCTGACCAAAGCTAAGAGCTCCCTGTCATCTTTGGAGTTCAAGTGACAGTCAGAGCTGGAAATATCCCTGCACATCCGTAATACACATCTCATCTGACCTTTCACTGTAATTTCAACCAGCTAAGCACATATATGGTATAAGCAGGATGTAACCTTCCCACACTTTTTCCTCAGTAGCTGGTAAGATCCCTACAAAACCCATCTGGAAAGGTTTGATTTAATTTTCATCCACAAAGACGATCTTGATAATTTTATATCTGAAGAGTTAAAGCTTTATCATTTTAATGATATGACAGGTTTGATATTACAGCCTTATTTCAGGTCTCTTTAAACTGATTTTCTTTTTTTCCTGTGGTTTTGTTTTGCTTTGTTTTTATTCATTTTCTTAACTTCAGCATGATAAATGCAGACTTCAGTACAGCAACTGCTTTGATTTCATTTGGAGCAGTCCTGGGGAAAACAAGTCCTGTTCAGATGCTGATCTTGACAGTTCTGGAGATCACAATCTTCGCATGCAATGAACATCTAGTTACAAAAACACTTCAGGTACAACTATTTAGCAATAACTGTTTTCTGTTTATAACAAATGCTTTCACTTTGTAATACTTCCAGTTTACGTATTCTAGGTTCTAGTTTCTACCATAGAAAATAAACCATTAAAGTCATCCACACTTCTCCTTCATCAAATCCTCATCTTTATGCTGTGTAAAACCTGTGGCATTATTTTGGGTCCCTATTACAGGCCACAGATGTTGGAGCCTCAATGACTATCCATGTTTTTGGAGCTTATTTTGGTTTGGCCGTAACCCTAGTTTTGTATCGTCCTGGTTTGAAAAACAAACATGAAAATGAAGAATCTACCTATCATTCAGACATATTTGCCATGATTGGTAAGTGAAGCAATAGTGAGTTGTTCATCAGTTGTTCATCCCTCTTTCATCCCTATGGTTTAATGATTGCCTATTATTACGCTGCATCCATTTTCTTAAGTACACTCCTAGAGGTGTACTCTTTTTTGTCTGACGCGTGCACAATGTTTTCAGTGACACACATATTCTTACAGTTTTTCCTTGGTTAAAAAATGGAAAGATCAAATTAAAGATGCATTTTCACTGTGCATTAGTGGTGACTCCCTTTTTCTTATATCTTCTGTTATAAGCAGCATTTCCATAGAAATTGGCCATAATTAAAAGTATTGAGCTGTGCGTGTCCCGCTAATGAATGTTAGAAACCATACATCTATCTGTCCACGAGATCAATTAATAGATCAATTTGCCAGCTAAAACGATCAGTTATATCAATAGATGATAAAGGATTTGCATGTGAACTGTCTTGCTAAAGCATCCTATCCTGGTATGGTTTTCACAGTGGTGAGCTCTGGCAGTGAGTGGGGCATGATGAGAGGTCACAATGTGTTAAAATCTTCCAGTAAGATTTGGCAGAGACCATGAGTCAAAATCCCAGCTGCCAATGTCAAAAGCTTCTGTGTAATCTATTATTTCTTCCAGCATTTTGGCTATTTTATGTTTCTTACTGATCATCTTCCTCATTTCTTGTAGCTAGTTCTGTTATGTAGGATCTTTCACATTGAAATATCCCTTGTGACTGAATAGTCTTTGTTTCATTTTGACTTATATTCATCCAGGTACCCTGTTCCTTTGGCTTTTTTGGCCCAGTTTTAACTCTGCCATTGCATCTGAACCAATTTACCAGACTAACGCAATTGTCAACACTTACTATTCCTTGGCTGCATGTACTGTCGTAACATTTGCCCTCTCCAGCCTGGTGGATCAAAGAGGCAAATTCAGTATGGTAAGAATCACATTGCAACCTCTGTTAAATCGAGTCACCCCTCTATAATAGGGATGATTAGGCAGATTCCCAATGTCTGTGAGCTGTCTGGAGCCTTTGCTCATACTGTGGGCAAAATCAGAGCTATTGTTCTTCTAAAAGCTATAACGTAAGATTGGGCTCTGAGGCACCCCACCCTGCTTTAGGTATGTGGTGATTCCTCAGTGGGATCACTGCATCTGGAGAGTGAAAAGCTCTTAGACATTACAGCCATGGTCCTGCTTCCTTGTTCTCTCTTGTCACAGAACCTGCTGGACCATAGAGACATTAGTCCAACGTTCAGGTGGACTTCTGGGTCTTACTCTAAAGAAGATCCTATGTGAGTTGCCATGTTGCAATAGCCAAAAATAAGTCTCTCAAGGCAACGACCTGTTCCCTGGCAATCTCACAGTACAGCTGCACAACAGGCAAAGCCAAACCAGGTTGGGGTTGCCAGGCTGTCAACCTTTCATCTCCTTGCCCTAAAATCCAGCCCTATGTTTTCACCCACTTCTTTCAAGCAGTTGCAGTGTTTATCTAAGCCCAGCGTGAGCAGGCACAGTTCAATGAGCTCGCAGAATTTGCTGCTGTTGTAGGAGGCAGTTTGCACTGGCTCAGCCTGGCTTCTCGAGCAGTCAGATGCAGTTTGCAGTCCACTTTGCAAAAGTTGGACTTCATTAAACTGGCCCCAGTTAAACTGGCTTAGAGCAGCTTTGAACCAACACCTGAACATGTAACAGGGAACCCTGTTTTAAATTCCTGTTCATTATTCATTGGAAAAATCCCACCTGAGAAAAAGGAAAACATCTATATGCAAAAAAAGCCCTAAAACAAGCCTCTGTTCCACATATATCACCTCCACCTCTGTACACTCTTTGCAGGTTCTCATTCAAAATGCCACCCTGGCAGGAGGAGTAGCAGTGGGTACCTGTGCTGACCTGTCAATCCACCCTTTTGCTGCCGTGTGCATTGGGAGCATTGCTGGAATCATCTCTGTCCTTGGGTACCACTTCCTGACTGTAAGTATTGAGGATCCACCTCTGCTCTCATTTCCTTATTGCTTCATTGGCTTTACTGGAGCTCCCTTGGTTTGCTAGAAAGGGAGTTTAGAAACTGGCTGATACAGTATAGAGAGTAAGTTCTAGATAACGGTTATTTTTAAATCAGTGTGATTTAAATATATGCTTATGAGCTGACTTCAGTCCATCACCTAGCTAAAAACAGAGGAGGATCACGAAGATATTAGAGTTCATTAAAGTTGGGATTTCTGTTCAAGGAGCTGCCAGAATTTTGCTCCAAGCCCATGTTTCAGTGAAATAGGACTAATTACATTTCAGTCTTTTAAAATTTCTAAATAGGTCTGTAATCAAAAAATACTTTTGAAGTATAAAATGGAAGTGTTTCATGTGCAAAACATAGAAACAAAATATTCTGACTAAAACTGTTTAAAGTGGCATTTCGTGATGGAGAAACATTCTGGAAGAAAATACTTGACTAGCAGACTCAGAACAGGCGTGTATGTGTTACTTAGCCACCTCTTTCAACCTTTGCTGCCGTGGCTGAAAAGATTAGGAATATCAGTGGACTGTCATGTATTTTGTACCATTATATTTATGATGGTAGCTTGGACATTTGTACGATTATACATACATACTTGGTTTTCTCTGCATATAAACAATTGCACAGTGAAGGGAAAGATAGCAGGTTTTATAGCTAAACTTTGCATACGTGAAATAAGTTCAATTGTTTCTTGTACTTCTGCACTACTTTCTTTTGCATATCATTCTAGAGATAATGGAAGACTATAAACTCACTATAAACTTCCTATTTCCCCTCATTTCAGCCTTTGTTGGCATCCAAGCTGAATATTCAAGACACTTGTGGAGTTCATAATTTACATGGTTTACCTGGAATACTGGGAGGTATCGCTGGCATCGTAGTAACTGCGGTAAAAGAGGAAGCTAGGTGAGTTGTAGAGAGAAGAGAGAAAGGAGTTTATTGATTTTGAAGGTCTCTCCTGATTTCCCACCTTCCTTGGATCTAATTATGATTTTTTTTTCAGAAAATGCATCTTTGATTTGATGTCAAACATCGTGTTCTGGTTTAAATAGGACTCTTCTTGACATCCTGCCTTTAACACACTGTTTATATGCCAAGCTTGTTCAAACTAAAAGCTCAAGTAAAAATAAATAAATAAAAAAACCAGCATAAAAAACAGCATACAGAACCAGTCAAACATAGAAGAATCTTTATTATGATTCTACAATTACACTGCTGGTAACTGTAAGATTTCCAAGAAAATTGGCAAAATGGGCTATTTGACTATCTTAAAAGACTCCAAGAAGATGAAATGCTGGTCTTCTTAACAAAGGGGAGCATTCTCTAAAGGCTTACGAGATACTAATAACCTTTTCAAAGAACTTGTTTTCATCTGTAGCCTAAAACAAAACTAAAATAAAATCATGATTTCTGTCTTGTACACAGCAATGGCAGGGTATTTCCCTATGAGCCATCTTGTCCAGCAGAGAGCAAGTACAATGTTGTAAGACCAATTATCAGTCTCAAAGTGTAACAATTTTTTGATTGTCAGTGGTTTGTTTTTCTGCCCTTTTCAGGCAAGGCGTCCGCTTGACTCCTGGCATGCAGGCTGCTGCCCTGGGCAGTACAATTGCAATTGCACTGGCGGGCGGAGCATTGACAGGTCAGTATGATGCATATAGCAACCGAAATATATGTGAATTTCGAGGTTTACCCATGGAGAACTTCAATGTATCAACAATTTCATGTGAATAATACAAAATAGAAAAATAGAAATAATGCATGATGGCACACTGGCAGAAACTTAAATATGGACAAGCAGTTTTCCAATAATTTTGTCTTCAAATGAAGCCTAGATATCTTACTGAATACATGCTGCAAAGACACTGCATTGTATATATAGGAATAGTAAGACGTTGTCATGGTTTAATCTCAGTTGGCAACTAAGCCCCACCCAAGATC